GATCTCAGTCATATCAGAATGTCAGGGGCTCCCTGACTTTCTGAGCTGCTGTGTGACCTCGGTCAGCGTGTGCCCCTCTCTGGGCCTCAGGGTCCCTGTGGGATAGTACTGGGTGGTCCCCAAAGCCCTCCCCAGCACTGAGGTTCCCAGCTCCACTGTTAAGAAGGAACCAAGTGCCTTCGCCACCTTCCTCCCAGGCCTGCTGGTAATCCGGTCATTTTGAGCTCAGTTATGTATGGCCTTCTATGGCTTTCTAAAACTAGTGTGCCAGCCCCACCCCCCCATGGATGCTAGGAAGGGACAAGTAGCGTTGAGTGGTCAGTGAGGGGAGCCCCTGGCATGAGGGGTGGGCACAGCCCAGCTCTGCCCTGGGAGGACAAGGGAGGCTTCATTCTTCTCAGAAGGCATATCAGGCCCCTCCAGGACCTGCTCACAGAGACCTGCCTGGGTCCAGGGTGAGGGGATGATGGGTAAACTAGGCCCCCTGCCCTGGGTGTTGGGTCTGGCTGGCATTGCCAAGGGCATGCAGCAGAGCGGGCACTGTGTCTGCTCCCTCTGAGCCTTGAGCCCAGCAGGGTCAACAAGGGCTTCAGTTTGAATAACTCACAGGAAAGAGAGAGCAGAGCCGGATCATCCCTGAGTGGCCCAGAGCCTCGGCTTACCACGCGGCCGTGGTTTCTGAGGGCTCTGCTGTTCGATGTTCTGGATTTACCCAGAATATGCGTGGAGGGTGGTTGGGGAGGCCTGATTCGGTTGGTCCCAAGTGAGGAGGTTCTGGACAAGCACAGAGAGATGGCCGGTCGTCCCTGGCCCGCTGGCCACTTGGGGAGGGTGAGGCCGATGCCCATGTGTCCTGTTTGCTCTCAGAGCTGCTCCTGGGGTCGTGCGGTGCGGACAGTATCTGGAGCCCCGCTTGGCAAATAGGGACACAGATTCAGAGAGGGTTTGTGACTTGTCTGGAGCCACACAGCAGATGCGAGACTCCAGGTCTCATGCTCTCCTGCTCGTCCCAGCCTGAGTCTTTGGCAACGTCCCCCCTTCTTTCCTGAACCCTCCGGCCAGGGGCCCTTCGGAGCTAACGGTCCTCACCTTGACTTGCCAGGTACCAGAGACAAACTGTCCCTGAAACACTGGGCCCTGTTCAGGGCAGGTGCGCTCAGGGACCCACTCAGGGCTCATGAGGGCTGAAGGGTGGGGGGTGACCAATGTGCGACCTGCGTGCCTGTCTTTGGCATTTTCCAGGGGTACTGCCAATGCTGCTGCTGACTCTAGGTCTGTGCTATGTGGGCTCTGATTGCACCAGGGACCCCTAGGCCTCCTGAGACCAACGTGTGCCCAGGATAGCTGTTGGCCCCAAACCAACCACCCATGCTGCATTTACCCAACTCCCCACCTCCATCACCAGACACATCGGAAACAGCTGCTGAGCTCAGGTGGCCGCTGCAACTACCACCTGGCGCAAATCACTTGCCGCCTTCGAGTCTCGGTGCTCCCATCTGTGAGATGGGTCTCCTCAAGAGGGTCTGTCTCATGGGTTGCCATGGGGATAAAAGCCCCCAGTCCCAGGTCTACTTGGACTCAGGAAACAATGCTGGGTGGGGGTACACAAAGGAACAAGATGTGGATCCTGCCCCCTACCCCTGCGGCCCACGGGTACCTGGTAAGAGCCCAGAGGAGGGTGCCTCACCCTGACCGGGGCTCCTGGGAGCCGGGGATTGTCCCAGCTGTGTCAAGAGCATGGGTGAGCTGTGGACATGTGGGAATGTGGGTGGGGGCTCCAGGCAGAGGGAGGGCCAGCGTCCACCAGGGCAGGCGGGGACCCAGGCTGTTCCTCTATTCAAGGCGTGGTGTGCTGTGGGGGCAGCTGCACCTGCGTACAGGTGAGCCACGTGTTCATCCTGCCCAGCTAGGCTGCAGGGAGTGGTGGATGCTGACGGGTGGGGTCGGCCTTGAGGTCCTCTCAGAGACCTGGGAGCCAGTGATGGCTGCTGGGCAAGGCCCATGGGTTTCTCAGCCCTCGCTCATGCTCGCCCCAGAGGAGGACACTCAGGCAGCTCTCTGAGGACTGGCCGAATGTCCAGGAATGATTTGGGGAGGGGACCCTCTGCCCTGCTCCACGCCCAGGCATACTGTGACCTGGGCAGATTATGAAGCCCTCTGAGCCAGCACCCACATCTGTACACTGAGGTGTGGTTCCCCCAAAGCACGGGGCTGTTGTGAGAATTAAACAAGATGTGTATGCGGAGTGTGGGTGCATGGGAACCCCTCAATCCAGAGGACCTAACGTCAGCTTCCTGGATTCTCCCCAAACTACGACTCTCTCGCAGTAGCCCCCACCTTGTCTCCATGGCGAGACGAGAGGGTTTGGCTCATTAAAACCAAATAAAAAAGGAATTAGCGGGAGTGGCAGCTGGGTGAGTAACTGATGAGTAACTGAGAGTCTGAGCCGGGTATGGGCATAGCCAGGTGGGAGCAGGAACTCACACAAAGGCTGGAGGGAGGTTTCCACGAAATGCCCTCCAAACGCACAGGCCCAGCTGCAGAGCCTGCTGCCTGCTTGGGGGCATCAAAACAGCAAGATATGGGAGTCCCCCAGCTGACTCCCGCTGGGAAGACAGGCATTTGGGGAAGAGGAGGGTCACAGGCAGGTCCCAGGCCTCTGTGGGAACGCCCACAGCACCCTTTCTCAGGCGGGGCTTGGTTGTGGGGACGCTTCACTCTGCTGCCTGGCCTCTTGGCACCATTGCACAATCGTCTGCGATGTCTCCGCCCACCCTCCTCCGCTGGATGCCTAGCTTGTGGCATGCCCCCCGTCTGAGACCAGCTGGGTCTCCCCCAGCTCCCATCCAGCGTTCCCCGGCTGGCTCAAATGCGGCATTCTCTCCCCCCCACGGGGGCTGCGTGTATGTGCCTCTTCTGTCTCCTCCTGCCCAGGTCACTTAGCAGCAAAGGGGCCAAGCTGGGGGCAGGATGGCCTCCAGTGACCTGAGCCCCAGGCTCCAAGTCCCTTCCTCTGCCTCTCTGGGCTTTGATTCCACTGCCTGGGTTCAAATCCTACTTCAGCCACTAACACCTTGTTTCATAACCTCTCTGTGCCTCAGTGTCCTCATCTGTGAGATGGGAACAATACTGAAACTTCATATGACTGTTGTGACCGTTCGATGAGAATGAACGTAAAGGGTTAGATGAGTGCTGGCGAGCCATGAGAGCTGGTGAGCGACAGTGAGGACAACCACAGCTCTGCTGATCTGCTTTCTAAATAGCTCCAGAATCCCCATCCCCCGTGTAGCCAGGAAGCTCTCAAATTCTAACCCCACAGCATCTGGCCCCAGCATCTGCACAGGAAGTGCCATCTGCTCCACGGGACACCTCTGGCCTACCACAGTCTGGCTCCCTCAGACCTTGACTACCGCTTTTTTTTATTCTTGACTTCATATTTCCAGTGCCAGCAGCACCAAGTTGTTTCACACCTCTGCTCCTTTCCTCTAGCTGTGGCCAGGAGCGCATACAACATAGACACACACACACACACACACACACACACACACACACACACACACACACACACACCACTCACAGGGAGCTAACGCATACATCTAACCTAGACTTTAAGACATCACCTCCTCCAGAAGCCTTCCTAGACTCTACCAACCACAGAAGCAGGTCAGGGCATCCTTTGAGGTTCCATGACTCCCTGTGCCCCTCTGTGGTCACCTCCTTTCCTGGGATTCCCCCACCTAGTTTATTGCTGCGGTCCATGTGTGAGCTTGTCAGAAGGCCCTGCTGGGCTTGGGCAATACAAACAAGGAGTTCAACAACCCACTTCACACCCGATGGACTTCCCTTCAGATCATCTTGACCTAATTTAGAGCCAAGGAGGTCAATTCCCATATTCTCCCTGTCCTTGTCCCTTTGTCTGTCTGGGAGTCCCTGGCCAGCCGGCCTCAGTGGCACAGGGACTGGGCCTCCTCCGTGCTCCTCAAAGAGCCATTCACTGTGCTGAGAGATGGCTTCTTACAGAGCGGTGCCGGGGACAGAGCCTGTGCAGTCGGCCGGTCCCCAGGTGGCCGTGCACTGACCCCAGCAGGGAGAGAAGGGACCAAAGGGTTTGACTGCATCTTGTAGATATGGGGTTGCCATGCAGCAGGTGGTTATTATTGTCAAATGAACAAGCGAATGAAGGAATGAGTGGCACAGTCTTTGCCTCCAAGGAGCTCACAGACGGTATGGAGACACCATTCTGTGGGCACAGGCAGATGGAGATCTGTGCCTGGGAGGGCCGAGGAAGGCGAGATTAATACCTGGAGGCACTGGGAGGGCTCCCTGCGGGAGGAGGCGTAGCTGAGCCCTCAATGGAACCGCTGTCCCTGGAGCCCCTGCAGTGGCTTGGGTCCTGACCGGGGGCTTTCCCACACCCCTGGGAGGAAGGTCTCACTGTCCCCACTGAGATGGTGGCTGGGGTGGGAGGCAGTGAGGGAGAAAGGGAGGACTGGAACCCTGGTCTGGGCAGTTCAGGGGCCCCTGAGGTAGGCTGGGGTGTTGGAGAAGGGAGATCAGGAGGCCAGGGCCTGGTGATGGGGTGGGGTGCCCCCACTAGGGTCAGCAGAACCGCCTGGTTCATGAGGAGCAGCTAGGCAGCTGGCAGAAGGGAGGGGCAGAGGCGTGGACCCCACACAACGGTCACAGGTGCCACCCACTGCTGCCCTCCAGGGTTTCGAAGCTCACCCCCTCCAGCCCAGGCTCTGGCCTGGGAGAGAAGTGCCTCACATGTTGGTGGCAGGGCGGAAGCATGCATTGAGTGCTCACTGTATACCAGGCACTGTCCTTAACACAGCCCTGCAAGGTGGGTTCCTTCAAACCCACTTTGCTGAGTCAGAAACTCAGAGAAGGCAAGTGCAGAGCCCAGGGTCACACAGCCGGCCAGCAGCAGAACCCCGACCAGGCTCTGGGTCCCCTGAGCCCTGCGGAACCTCACCGTCTTCACCATTCCCTCCCCGCAGGGAGCCGTGAGGCCGCTTTCACGTATGCCATCACTGCGGCCGGTGTGGCCCACGCTGTCACCGCAGCCTGCAGCCAGGGCAACCTGAGCAACTGCGGCTGCGACCGCGAGAAGCAGGGCTACTACAACCAGGCCGAGGGCTGGAAGTGGGGCGGCTGCTCCGCCGACGTGCGCTACGGCATCGACTTCTCCCGGCGTTTCGTGGACGCCCGCGAGATCAAGAAGAACGCGCGGCGCCTCATGAACCTGCACAACAATGAGGCAGGCAGGAAGGTAGGGCCTGCAAGGGGCGTGGCGTGGCGTGGCTGGGAGGGCGCGGGGCGGGGCCTGGTAGGGGCGGGGCGTAGTGGGGCAGGTGTCAAGTGTGACCGCTGGGCCCCCGGGGTCTCCACCTCCCTGAACTTTGCGAGCCTCTCCTGGCGAGGGAGTTGGGAACCCAAACCTGGAAGGCACGTGGTGAGTGGTGCTGACCATGGCTGTCACCGGTGACCCTCCCAGCAGGCGGGCCTTAGTGTTCCCATTCCACAGGTATGAAAACTGAGGCTAGGAATGGTGATGTGCTGGTGCCCCTCAGTTGGTGGGAGGCAGGGGTGAGATAGGGGCCCCGTATTCATGCAGGGGTGGAGGGGGCACCTCAGGGCCACAGTCCAGTGGCTGTCCTGGTCCCAGGGGGTCATGCCAACATACCCGGGAAGGCTTCCTGGAGCAGCGGCCTTTGGCTCAGCTTCCCACGAGAGACTCATGGGAGGATGTTCCCAGGAGGGAGAAGCAGCCTCGGGAAGGGTGGAAACTGAGGGGGGGTCTTGAGGAGCAGCTGTTTCATGTGTGGGGTGGGATGCAGTGTGGGGCCGATAATGGAGGACATTCAGGCAGGGACGCACTGGAGAGGAAGTCGGGGCGGCCGGCCCTGCCTCAGGGAGATGAGGGCCCCAGATACTGGGCTGGGAGGAGCGGCCGCCATGGCGGCAAGATGGCCCGAGATAGGGCGGGCAGCGGAGCAGAACGCTTCTCTGGGTCTGATTCCCCAGCCCCGGGGGCTGCGCCCGGGACACCAGGGCCTGAGGGGCTCTGCAGGCCCGGGACAGACTTGCCTTTCCAGGCAAAGAGGAGCTGAAATTGCCTTCTGTCCCAGGGACCATCGCTGAGGCGAATGGTTACCTGTTCATTCACTCAGCAAATGCTCTCTGCCTCTTCTCTGTGCCGGGTGCTGGGTTGGGCATCGGGCACAGGAAGGACTAAGACAAGACCCTGGCCATGGGAGCTCCCCCAGCCCCAACTAAGTCCACATGAGGGGAGCAGGGCCCTGGGGACCGACGGGAAGGGGAGCAGAGGCTTCCTGGAGGAGGTGATGTCCAAGTGTAGCCTTGAAGGACATGTCAGACCCGAGACAAACAGTGGCAGAAGGAGCTGGCCCTTGGGTGGGGGGCAGGGCTACAGATAGTTCAGGCTGGCGGGAGCAGAAGCCGTGGGCATGACAGGGCTCCAGAAGCAGAAGTAAGCAGGGGCCACAGCCCCAAACAGGCCACGAGCGTCAGGCCAAGGGTTTGACTGCATCTTGTAGATATGGGGTTGCCATGCAGCAGGTGGTTATTATTGTCAAACGAACAAGCGAATGAAGGAATGAGTGGCACAGTCTTTGCCTCCAAGGAGCTCACAGACGGTATGGAGACACCATTCTGTGGGCACAGGCAGATGGAGATCTGTGCCTGGGAGGGCCGAGGAAGGCGAAATGAATACCTGGAGGCACTGGGAGGGCTCCCTGCGGGAGGAGGCGTAGCTGAGCCCTCAATGGAACTGCTGCCCATGGAGCCTCTGCAGTGGCTTGGGTCCCAAGCAGGGGCTTTCCCACACCCCTTGGGGGAAGGTTCTCACTGTCCCCACTTTACACAGGAGGACAGTGGGGCCCAAAGTGGGCTGCAGAGCCACTGGTGGCCCCGAGGCCTGAGCTCTTGTCACTTCTCCATAAGGCTGTGTCTGAGTGAGCAACAGAGATGTGGGGAAGGGCGAAGGGACCAGCAGAAGACAAATGCACGGCGGGGGCTCAGCTCACCAGCCCAGCTCAAGGTGTTCAGGGTGGGCGAGGAGGCTGGCACGTGGATGGGCCTTGTGGTGAAGGACTGTGACAGCCAGACTGGATTTTGGCCTCTTGGGCACAGGTGCCATTGCATGCCCCTGAGGGAGAGTGGGGCTGGGCAGCTTGAGGCCCAGGGTTGTGTCTGTTGCAGCTTTGAGGTCCTGTGTGAACCCAACGGCTGACCTGGCATCGGACTCGGGGGTGCTTGGAGACTGACTAGTGGTGAAAAGGCCTAGGGAAATGGAGAAAGGCAGGACTGGGCCCCGAGGGAGATGGTGGAAGGAGAACCGGGAGGCTGGAGATGGGGTCCGGGCCTGGCCTGAGGGACCAGGACAGAGGAGGGCCAGCACTTGCAGGGAGGGGGTCAGACTGGGATGAAGCCCCGAACAAAGAATCTGTGAGCTGAGGCAAAGCAGGTTGTCAGGGGAGAGCGGACCAGCGGCACGAGGGCCCACTGGGGACAGGGCAGCAGCCAGTGCTGTCCCTGACGGCCTGTGGGGACCTGGCTGTCCCTGTCCCTTTTCCGAACCTCAGTCTCATCTGCACAGTGGGTGTGATGCACCTTGTCCCCTGCCCCCCACTGCCGCTCCACATGGAGCTGATAGCACACAATGGGTCTGAGCTCTTGGACAAGACCCAGGGTCCTGGCAGTACAGTGACCCTGCGGGCGGGGTCCCTCTCCTCCCAGCAGCATGGTGCTTCTCAGTGCGTGGGATGGGGTGTGGCTTTCGAGGTTTCCATAAGAACTGAGTCCAGACCTTCATGGGTCACCCCAGTGCCGGGGCACCCTGGCCCCCATTACAGAGCGAGCAGGCCCTCTCCTGCCCCGCCCACTTCCTCAGAGCCACGAAGTTCAACAGGTCAGGTGAACAGCAACCTGACTGATGCCACACGAAGTCCCACAAACTGGGTGGCTTAAAGCAACAGAAATTCATTCTTTCAGTCTGGAAGCCACAAGTTCTAAATCCAGGAGAGGGCTGGGCCGTGCTCCCTCAGACGGCGCCAGGGGAGGGTCCTTCCTGCCTCTCCCAGCCCCTGGGGGCTCCAGGCGTCCCTATGCTTGTGGCCCCATCATCTAGTCTCTGCCTCCGTCTTCATGTGGCCTCTGCTCTGTGTGCTTCCTCCTCTTCTGTCTCCTATAAGAACATGTGTCCTCGGATTTAGGACCCATCCTGGTCTGGGATGACGTCATCTCAAGTCTTACCTTAGTTACATCCTCAAAGTCCTTATTTCCTAATAAGGTCATATTCTGAGGTTCCGAGTGGACACGTGCTTGAGGGGGACACCATGCCGCCCACCCAGGCTGGCATGTGGCTCCGGACCCCTGGTGGGCCAGCGTCAGAGAGGCTGAGCATGGAGACCTGCCCACCACCATCCGCTTCCGCTAGACTCCAGGCTCCCTCGGGACTTCCGCGCACACACCTGTGACTCTCCTAACCTGGCCATACTACACACTGTTCCTGGAGTGTGGGGCACTCCTATTCTAGAAATAACCCCAAGTCGGCCCTTTCCTGGGGCCCCCCATACACCCCCACACTACCTAGGGCAGTAGGGGGAGCGAGGCTGAGGGAGGGACCCTGCTCAGCCCCCAGATCCTCTGGGCAGGGCCCGTCACTCTGCACCCTCCCAGGTGGTTTCCTGGGGCAGTGGGGCTGGCGCCACCTTCGCTGTCGCTCTTATCTCGAGGGCACTGGAGACGGAAACGGCACATTCTTGAATCCTGTGATCACTTCCCAGGAGAGGCTGAGGCACAGGGGACCCAGCCAAGCGAGGATGCGGCCCCTCGCTCTGCAAACAGCTGCCCAATCGGCTCCATCTGCCGACTGTCACTGGCCTGGCTGCACAGGGTCCCCAGGCGGGCTGTCTGGCCTTAGGGATGGGAGATGAGGGCAGAGGGAAGGGGTTTGGGGCAGGTGGCACAGAGAGGTGGGAGGCAGCTGCTGTTCAGCAGGCCGCAGTGGACACCCTGGTGGCAATTATGCCTGGGCCACCTGGCCTGCACAGCCTCTATCCCGGACACCCCTGCGAGGTGTCTGGCCATCACAGCCTATCTAAGGAGGAACCTTCTGGGCCAACAGCCTGGGGTGGGGTGAACTGCTCCCCGGCTAGAGGTCCTGAGAGGTGCGTTCGTCTGGTCACCTCCTGGCCTGAGGGGCATATGCGGTGGGCAGTGTGGCCAGGGCAGAGGAAGTTTCCAGGTCTTGCAAGGCAGGTTAGTGGAGGGAAGGTTGGCAGGGGAGGGGAGGGGAGGGTCCAAGCAAAGATGAACATGGGGTGGGGGTGAGGGAGGGGAAGATGTCCAATTGTGATGGACAGATACGCTTTCCCCTGGGGGGTGTGGGGTCTCCCCTTTGCCCAGACCAGCAGACCAGACTTCTGAGCCCTCAACCCAGACACCCCATGCCTCTGCAATTCCACTTCTGAATATTCCCCAAACCGGCCCCCTTTCCATCTTCCGGACACCTGGGCTCTCCCCTCCTTGGCCCTCCCCTGGTAGAGCACCAGCCTCTCCCTCTCCACCCCTGCCTGCTCCCCTCCCCTCCCCCTTCCTCTCGTTCTCCACCCCAGGATGCCATCCATGCAGGAGCTGAGAACCCCACCCCCCAAGCTCCCGGCCACCAGCCTCAGGGCCCACCCTGCACCCATGTGATGCTCATTTAGGCCAAATCTTCCCTTTGTGGTGATGGTAACACCTCTCCAGGCCTTGCTTGTGCTGCACTCCTGGAACACGCCCCCCTTTTGTCTAATGAATTCCTGCTCCTCCAAGGACACCCAGCGCATGTAGCCCTACCTCCAGGAAGCCCCCTACTCCAGACACCCTCATCCTGGGCAAGGTTAGGCTCTCACAGCTCCTGCCTGCACTTTGCTGTTCTCTGTGTTGGTTTCCTTCTGTTTCCCACACTAGATTGTGAGCCCCCGACCTCCTCACCGAAATCCAGGGCCCCATGAGGCTGGGGCAGGAAGACAGACTGGGGCAGCAGGTGGCCCTGTGGGATGTTCCTCTCGCTCTTTTTCATTCATTCATTCGCTGTAGGTCTCCTCACCTGGGCCAGGGCTGGGCTCCTGGCCCAGGGCAGAGAGTAGCCAAGTTCCTTCAGGGCTGGGCTGCGGAAGTGAGGCCAGCGGGAGCTAGGACAGCTGACAAATGGCCCTTCGGCAGCCGTGGGCCGCAGCTAATGATTCCCCATCTTTAATCAGGCCCCGCTGGCAGGGCCCTTTCGATCCGGGTAAATGAGTACCTGGGGTCAGGGCTGGCTCTGGGAATCGGCCTTCCGGGGCCAGGGAGGGAGGCCCAAGGAAAACAGGGCTGCACCCATCTCGCTTGGAGCTGGGGAGAAAGAACAACACGGCTGGGGACGGCTGCCCAGCAGACAGCACGCCCGGGCCTCGCTGACCCGTGCGCTCACCTCCCCCTCGTCCGCCCACTTCATCCTTCAGCAAACGTGGTGCATACAGCTCCATGTGCATGCCCGTCTTTCATTGAACAGCCATTTATTAAGTGCCGATTGCATGCCAGGCCCTACAGCAGGCACGGGGGCAGGGAGTGGGAGAGACGGATGAGGGGTCCATACCTATTAAGCACCTACTGTGGTGGGGCCTGGTACCACAGTGAGGCACCTGCCCCCAGCCTGGCTTGTGCGAGCACCAGCTTCACCACCTGCTGCCCTGTGACCTGCAGCCAGTCCCACGGTGCCCCGAGCGTCAGTTTCCTCGCAGTGCATTGGCCCCCAGCTCCCGGAAGAGTTGTTGTGAGAACTGAGCGAAACACATTTGATAAACATGTGCCACCAATTTCTGGATGTTCTCTCTGGACCCTCACGAGGCCCTATGCAGTAGGGACCTACGCCAGCAGCCCCCTTTAATGGATGGGGAGACTGTGGTCACACAATGGGAAGGGGGAGGTCAGGCTGGAGCTGGGAGCAGGGCTGCAGCCAGGCCCCGGCCACTCCCATGCTCAGCCCCCTTCTGCTCTGTCGTCGCCCGCAGGTCCTGGAGGAGCGCATGAAGTTGGAATGCAAGTGCCACGGCGTGTCGGGCTCCTGCACCACCAAGACGTGCTGGACCACGCTGCCCAAGTTCCGCGAGGTGGGCCACCTGCTCAAGGAGAAGTACAACGCGGCCGTGCAGGTGGAGGTGGTGCGGGCCAGCCGCTTGCGGCAGCCCACCTTCCTGCGCATCAAGCAGCTGCGCAGCTACCAGAAGCCCATGGAGACGGACCTGGTGTACATCGAGAAGTCGCCCAACTACTGCGAGGAGGACGCGGCCACGGGCAGCGTGGGCACCCAGGGCCGCCTGTGCAACCGCACCTCCCCCGGGGCCGACGGCTGTGACACCATGTGCTGCGGCCGTGGCTACAACACCCACCAGTACACCAAGGTCTGGCAGTGCAACTGCAAGTTCCACTGGTGCTGCTTCGTCAAGTGCAACACCTGCAGCGAGCGCACCGAGGTCTTCACCTGCAAGTGAGCGGCCGGCGGCCACCCCCGCGGCAGCCCCACCCGGCGACATTTGCACATGAGCTCCTGGCCAACCCTGCTCCACACAGCCGGCTGGGGGCAGAGGTGGCTGGAGAAGGTGGGGGCTCTGGACCCAGAAGGGCTCCCACTGGGCCCGTCACCCTCTCCTTGTCCCCAGGGTCTCCTTCCTGCCATTCCCGTCACTCCCTGTGACAGAACAGTGCCCACACACCAGCCGAGAGGGCAAGGCCAATGGCACTGGTGTCCTTGACGAGGCCCAGTGAAAATTCCTTTGCTTTTCTCCAGGAAAGTGAACCTCAAGGACACACGTACCCCTGGAAAGCAAAGTGACAAGACTCTGAGTGTGCCCCTCCCCAACCTGGTGGCTCAGACTTGGAAACACCATGGTGGCCGGGCCCATGCGAGACTGTTTCCCAAGCCACATCAGCCACTGGGCCCTGGGGCAGTCTGGGCAGATGTTGACAAAAATTATTTATGTTTTCTTAGTACCAGAAGAGGATTCTTAGCGCTAAGGCGTAGCCAGCCCTAACTCCGTACTCCGTGTTAACGCATCCCCACTCTGCGCTCTGCTTTTCCTCCCGCCCTGCGGGAGTGTCCCTGTGCACTGCGCCTTCCTAGCTCTGCCCTGGGAGGTGGCCGTGTGCGTGTGGTTCCCAGGTGAGCTGGGCAGGAGCTTGACAACTAACGTGGCCCCAAGAGGGCCTCCGAGGAGAGCCCTGACAGGGACCTCTAGTCTCCCCTTCTTACTTTCAGAAAATCATATCAAACAAATGAAAATGTCACCGGTGTCAGGTTCCAGGAGTGCTTCGTACACTCCCTAAAGCTGTTGCCCTCCCAGCCCCTTGCCAGCCTGGCACCCTCCAGTTTACAGAGCCCCTTCCCACCCTGGAGCCAGCCAGACCCCCAAGATAGCGGCTGGTGGGGTAGGGGGTAGTTCAGGGTGTTTGCCTCATTTGACAGATGGGGACCCTGAGGCCTAGAATGGAGCGCTAGCCAGGGACCTCAAGGCCGTGAGTGGGGGCTCCTGTCTTGGTGTGGGCAGCCCGAGCCCCAGTCCAGGGCTCCTGACCCTGCTGCCAGCCTTGCTGGGGCCTGCACCGCCCCCCGAGGGTGCCTTCGAGGGTTTCTTGGTGGCCTTCTTGCCCAGTCCTGGTCCTTTCACTCTGACCCCAATGCTGAGAAAACTTGGATCCAGGGTTTCACTCTGCCAGCGTCCCACCTGCTGTCCCAGCAGATGCCTGTCCGCCACATACCGCCCCCAGGGTCCCCACACCATGCAGACCCTCCCTTGACGTCCGACTCACCCTGAAACCTGGGAGACAGGAGCAGGAAGGGGTCCAGTTCAGCCCTAAGCCATGTGTGGGGTGGGGAGAGATCAGAAACCTGGGTCTCAGGGCTGGAGTTGTCCTCTGAGAATGCTCTCACCCCTCCTGGGGAGACTGAGGCACAGAGGAAGCGACTTGCCAGAAAGCATGGTGTGCAACTGGCTTCTCCACTGCCCTTGTGCCTCCTACCCTGAATTTAGGGTGTTTCCCCACAGAAACTCGTGGAAATGTGTCCTCAGGCGACTGTCCAGCCAAATGGGCTGGACATTAGCTTGCGGTGAGTGACACTGTCTGGGCCCTGGTGCCCACCCTGTGTGCCCCCCGTGATGCCAGGATACTCCATTAGCTGCTGTCCTGGGAACTTCCAGGCCAACGTGAATGCCCTCCCGCGTGCGCCCCCACCCCCTGGGTCCCAGGACAACCCCGAGTCCACAGGTCCGGTGTCCTCTGCCAAGGAACCTGGTTAACTTATATTGTTATATAGTGTCAAAATGTCTATAGTGTCTTTTAAATTATTGTGACCTACACTGGGTACTGGGGAGGTGGGGGATCGCCGCGGGCTGTCCCCCTGAGACAGGCACCTCCTTCTGCTTGAAACAGACTCTCGGGGCCCCTGATGCCACCGAGTCATACGCACTGTCCCTCGGCTGCCAAGCGCCTCGCCGAGACCCTGCCCTTCCTCATAGCCTGTCAGCAGCGGCTCCTCCCGTGGGCGAGGGGGGTCAGTGTGGCCCAAGCAGGGGCAGTTGGTGGCTGAGGCGCTGAGTGTCCCTGCAGTGCCCGCACTTCGGGAGAGCCGGTGGGTTTCTGACAGGCTGTGTCCGGCCTCCCTGAAGGGGAGAGACAGCTCCAATAAAGCTGGAATCAGAGACATGAGTGTGTGTGGAGCCCACGCGACGCCCCTGGGGGTAGAGACACAGGCGCTGTCAACTGAAAATGAGTCCCACGCCCCCTCGGCCCTCACGTGTCCCCCTGTCGTTCTGACTTGCTCTCCGCATTCTGCTGGCACTGCACTGATGTGCCCTGCCTAGCAAGGGCCACTGGTGGGGCTGGACACGGACCCTGAGGCCTCCCTGGACAGCCTGGGCTCAGGCTGCAGGGAGGGGCTGACCTAGGGGCAGGGTAGGGGCTGCTCTCAGGAGAATGGGGAGCCTGGGGTTGGGATCCCACAGCCAAGAGACCCTGGCCCCATCTGTTTCCCCAGGGTCTCCCCCTCTGACCCCAGCTGGCCTCAGGGTCCCTGTGGGTCTATCCAGCTGTGTCTGAGTGGGTTTTGGCTCAAGTATCCCTGTAGGGCGCTCCCTGCCCTCTCTAGCCGTGGGAAGGCAGCCCGAGGCCCCTGGGCAGCCACCGGCCTTGCTTCTCCCCAGAGGCCCGGCCTCCATGCCTGCGGTAACCATGCACTAGGAGGATGACTGGCATTCCTGCCGAGGGCCGGAAGGCATGCGGTGGGGCCGGTTTGGCCACTGCCCGCTGTCCCAGCAGCCTGGCATCGGGTGGAATCGCTGATCAAACAGCCCCCGTCTGTACCGTGCCCGCCTGGGCACCCACAAAGCCTTGCCCCAGACTCGGTGGAGGGGCCACCATGTGGGCTTTCCCAGGGGGACATGCCCCTCCAGGGTGCGGAGAGGGGGCGATAAATGGGGAAAACCCGGGCTCAGGCAGCCTCTGGGGTGGTCCTGCCTGACATACGGCCTCAGTTTCCCCATCGGAGAGCGGGAGGTGGCCCAGGGCAGGACTCGGTGGTCAGCAGGGACCCTGCAACCCAGGCCTGGGCCGGGCCGCTTGGCAGGAGGCCCCGGTTCCCCGCGAGACGGTGAGCAGATCTGAGGTGGTGGCTGCAGTGGAACGCCGGGGTCCGACTACTCCCCCAGGGCCAGGAATGAAGAAAGAGCCGCGAGAATGCCGCGGCCCCGGTGCCCAGACTCGCCTTATTTCTTGGCCCTCATTCAACCCTAGTCCCGGCCTCCCAGGGCTGCCGGCACATCCTCCAAGGGGCCCTGCCCTGCCCCAGGCGTTGAGCCCACACTGCTGGCCAAGCCTGGGGGCCCATGTGACCCCTCCCCCAGCCCCAGGCTCCGCCTCTGAGGCTAATATTTCAGAAGCATTGCCCCGGGCAGCCCTGTGCCCTGCACACATCGGCTCATTACCCCCAGAGACTCCCTGGGCTCTGGCCCGCTCTGCTCTTAGCTGGCCCCTGGGCACGCTGGGGCCTTTCTGCGTCTGCATTTGCCAAGGGTGTTCCTTCTCCAGTCTTCCTTCCGCTTTCCTCCTAGAGAGCATGGAGCCACCGAGGCAGGAACAGGTCACGTGGGCTCCGCGGGGTAGGATTTGGGGACACTGGCAAGAGAGCTTGGAGTCCTGGGACCCGTTCCTACCACCCGTTCATCCGTTGATTCACTTGCTCATTGGCTTGTGCAGCTCTGCTGGAGGCCAGACCCTGGGTTGGTCCCTAGGGACAGGGGTGGTTCATGCCCGGCCCTGACCTCAGGGACTCCAGCTCTTCTGCCCACTTTCCTGCCCTGAATGGCAGCCCATTCTGGGGGTGCAACTGCTGACTGGGCAGCTTGAGAGACAGAAAATGGCTTGGACTGCCTCAGTTTCCCCCTCTGTGAAATGGGCACAGGGAGCGAGCTGTGCCCCGTTAGGCCCGGCTCCCCTTCCCCTGTCTGGAGGATGCCCCTGCCCACATGGGCTGAGTGTTGGCACTGGGGTCTCCCACACTGCTCCTCCATAGGACTCCCAGGCTTCCCGCTCAGCTGCGGTCGGTGGCCAGCGCTCACGGGGTCCCTGTGGCCCTGGGGGGCAGAGGCTTGCTCCTTGGCGTGGCCTGTGGCGTTCCTCCTGACCCTCTGCCTCACCTCCTACGGCCCACCTACCCCCCACCCCACACACAGCCCCCTGCGCTGCCGGGAAGCCACCCCTCTCCAGAACTGCCCATCATGGCCTTGGCTCCAGCTGTGCCCTCTGCCTGGGGTGTCCTTTCTTCTACCATCCCTGCCCACACCCTCCTTGCTGCACTGCCCTCTCCTCCAGCAAGCTCACCAGGACTCCTGCTGGCTTCCTCACCCTTCGTCCTGGCTCTCAGCACAATGGACAGGGGTCTCATTGCTGCGATGGCCCCTGCCCCCAAGCAGGCCTCACGCCTCAGAAGTGAGCAGGTCTGTGGAACACTGAACACCCCCCACCATGCCAGTCACTGGGTCTGGTCCACAGGTACCTACAACCTTCACAACAACACCTTCCCCCAAATGGGTTAATGCTAGCTCTGCTTTACAGACGGGAAGACCCAGGCATGGGATAAAGGGCTCTGTCCTAGATCGCACAGCCAGTTAGAGGCGGAACGAGGATTTGAACTCAGGTCCCCTGGGGTCTTCCTTCTACCCAACTCATATGCCCCCTCCCATGAAGAGGACTGAGGCCCCAGGACCTGTGCAAGGCTGCACAGAGACAGGTGGGAAGGGAATGGCTAAGGCAAGCCTCCAAGAGGAGATGGCAGCTGCCCTTTATCTTCATCAAGGACAGAACAGGAAAGACCGGGTTAAAAGCAGCAGGCAGGATCTGAGTTAGACATCTGGGTGAACCAGAGCCGGGAGGTGGGGAGGGGGTCAGGAGGGCAGGGGTGGGGTGAGCGAGGTGACCTGGGATGGGTGGGGCTATGGTCTGGGGGCCCCAGGGCACGAGAGGGGGAGGAGAGTTGCGTGGAGGCCGGGCCTCCTGCTCAGGCAAGCAGGGAAGGTGTGAGCTCCCTGAGCAGAGCGGCCCAAGCTGCTCCCGGAAGGCGCTGAACGCAGAGCAGGGCCGGCAGGAGCCAGGAAGCCGGCGGGGGTCTTGCCTGCTGCAGTCCTGGCCCGTTTCCTTCCTCTGCGTCTGAGCGCGCACCCAACTTCCTTTTCTGGGATGCCACCTGCCTGCTCGTCAGGTATCAGGTCCTTGGTCTTGCAGACCCTGGGGACTCAGAACCACCTGGCCTGGGCATCCCAGGACGCTTGGGGGTTAGAATTTGTGAGTCTTGGTGGGCCCGGGGAGTTGCAGGCCCGGCACCCACAGTGGTGCCCAGCAGAGGCCTGGGGGATGGACAGACGGTCAGCCAAATGCACTGGTGAGGGAGGCCCAGGGCCCAGAGCCCACCTACAGCCTGCCCTGGGTGGGCACTGATCCGAGGGCCTCAGGGATGAGCAGTACCCAGGCAGGAGCTTCCTGGCCAGCTCCCTGGCTGGTCTGGGCTCTGTGCCTCCCTGAGCACAGCTGGAATCCTGCGGCCACCTGGGATGCTACGGAACGGAAAGCTGTCCAGGTCTCGCAAGGAAGCAGCCCACATGCAGGCAATGCAGACCCGGGATGAGGGGCTCTCTCACTCCACCTGCAGGCTGAGGCCAGCAGCCAGCAGGGCAGAGCTGGGACACCCGCCAGGTGCTGGACACAGGTGTCCTTCCTGTGGCTTGTTGGTCTCCCCTAGGTGGCCAGCCCACCCACCCTGAGACCAGAGAGGGGCCTTCAGGACTCCAGTCCTTCCAGGACTAGCCCAGTGGAGGGGGGGTGGGGGGATGCAGGGGATCTCGCCTGGCAATTCTGGGCAAGACCCCAGGTAGCTGGGGCAGCCTCTCCAGGCAACCTGCAGTTCTGGAAGCCCTCTGCCCAAGCTGCTGGGGCTGGGCTGCAGCGGGGGCATTCTGCTGGCTCTACCTGCGTACCCCACCTCGCCACCCCAGAGCAGGCTGAGGGGTTTTGCTCAGGGACCCTCCCCTGGTTTCTGGCTCACCTCTGGCTTCTGAGCTCCTGCTTTTCCACAAGCAGGATGGCATTTCACATCTAGTCACACATTCCTCTGCTCACCTTTTCATCGTTGCTGAACTGCTCCATGCCCAGAGCTTGACTGGGCATTGCAGGGACCCCAGAGCAGAATTTGAAGTGAGCTCTTCCCTTACTTAGCCCCAGGCTGGGACGGGGACGGAATGACGGACACGCTGACTCCTCTGCCGCCCCCCCCCCCAATACCTGAGGTTGCAATGGAAGGAAGAGGGGCTGAGAACGGGAAGGGTCGTGGGACCTGGCCTTGGGGGGATGTGGAGTGGTAGTAAAGGCTTCCTGGAGGAGCTGCTGTCTTGGCTGAGGCCTAGAAGAAACGGATAAAAAAGGGGGGAGTTGGGAGGGAGGCAGGCGGAAAAGAGACACTTCAGCACAGGAACAGCGGGGAGCAATGGTCTGGTGGTGGTGGTGGTGGGGTACCGGGACTTAAAGAAGGGATAAGGGAGCATGGAGTTTGGGGGGCTGGGCAGTGGGGAGAGTGGAGCTTGGAGAGCTGCCCCAGAGCTGACAAGGTTCTGGAAGGCTCCAAAAAGACAGAGGTAACCTTGCACTTGAGCCTCAGTGCTTCCAGCATTTGGCAGGAACTCCCACTGCCTGCCTCCCCCTTCCATCCCCCCCCCCGGCCTACACAGCCCCGTGCCTTCTGGGCAAAGGGCCTGCATGCCAGCTGGCTTTCTGGGCACCAGGCTGCTATCGAAAGCCCCCATTTTCTAGTAGAAAAGTCTCTCAAGTAAGTGTCATGGGCTGTGAAGGGTGTGGGACGCGAGGGCTGGACTCCGGGGACCCTCCTGAGGCTGCTGCTGGCCCTTCCTGACCTCTGCTGGGTCTGGGGACAGGGTTTGCCAAGCCTTGGGCTGTTTCACGAGGCCCCACCAGCCCAACGGAAACATTCGAGGGGGCGCCTCCAAGGCCTGCTCGGGGCCTCCGCTGCCCTATTTGGACTGGCTGCTCCCAGGCTCTTCATCAGACTCAGGATGGGCCCAGCCCAGGTGGGCACTGAGCAGGCCGTCCTGGTTCCCATGCCGGCCCCCTTTGAGCTCGCCAGGCCAATGCCAGGACTTTGAGCT